TAAAAGTGAACTGTTCCCGGGATAGAATCAATTATTTTTAAGGTATACAAAATATCTTGAAATTAAATGATATAATTATTTTTCATTTTTTAAAGTAATTTTAAAGCTTTGTATCATCCAAAATCATATTAATAATGCTGTGTAAGGTCTATAGGCCTATAATAAAAATTACCTTTAAATAACGTAGAAATTTTCACAAATAGAAAAAAATTAATTAAAGTTTGCTGGAAACTGCATACAACAACAAAAAAAAAAATGTTTTGAATTGAGTTAAAAATTAAAAAAATGAACTTCTAATTTAGAAGGTAATTTTCGTTTTTTAAATAAAATATAATACAAAATATTGCAAACTTTTATAAGATTTTAAAAAGCAAAGATGGTCAATACTCCGATAACTCACTCTAATTCTTATTTTAGTAATGAAAAGTCTTGCCACCGAGAATGCCCTTTCCGATTCAATTGATGTGATTGGAATAGTGTTTAATGCATTTAAGAGAAGACAGATATTATGTGTTTTTTCACCTGTAGCCTGGAAGATTTCGAGTTTGTTTTCGAGATTGTAGTACTTCTTTTGCTCTCTAGTATTTTTGATTTGTCTACCTCGGCTGCTTTAATAGCGGCATCAAGCTTATAGCTCAATAATTCGGCAATTCGTTTGGCTTTAATAATCAGGTTTATGAAGAAAAACTTCATACTTGCAGACTTTATACTCGTTTGTATCTTTGCCCAATTTGCACAATCTGGCGTTACGCATTTATTGAAGCTACTGGGCATGGTTAAAAATTAAGACAGCGTAAGCACAATTATTCCATATATTACAGGTTCTGACAAGTAAAGAATTTTCAGAGTCCTGCCACAAATAAGCTACGTATTGATTATCGACCATTTGTGACATGCCATAACGAGCAAAAATTTAAAAAAAAACTAATAGGTAGGTTTAAAATTAATAAATACAAATGTATTCTGACAGTGAATGAGATAATTATGCTTTTTATTTGCAAAATTTCTTAACCTTAACACAAAATAAGAAAAAAAGTGAATTTTTAAGAAATTTGCGGGATTTCCCAGGTTAAAAAAACAACCGGGATCCCGGAATCTCGTTTGAGAAACACTACTCATGACGTGTTTTCTTTGATTTTTTATTAAAATTTAATGTCGACTTATGGTGCATATGAGTGACCACTTTCTACCATTTGTTATGAAATTTGTTAGCACTAGCACACCGGCTTAAATACAGTGTAAATGTCTGCATAATATAAGTCGCCTTGCCTGTTATAGTCGTTTAAACAAGTCTTTAAACTCGAGAAACATTGCCTTATGTATTCGTCGTCACTTTGCGACGATAGGCATCACACTGTCATTGTTCTGTGGATTTTAAATTAATCTAAGCACGAGACCTCGGATGGCGCAGAAGTGTCTGTCCGTAAAGTGGAAAGGAAAGAAACCAAGCCAGACGAAAAGCCGAGTCCAGTTCATTAAGTTGTAGTCGGGTGAAAGGTCATTTCCGCGTGGCAAAGTTAATTTCGATGGAAGATAACCTCGGTGGAGAAAAGGTTTATTTTCTGCAGAAAAAGAAAACCCTTTTCCACCAAGGCTTCTTCTCTTGATTTTTTCAGGAGAAGAATTTCTTGAAAAATGGGTGAAATCTTGGATACATCACCCAGCTTCTGCCACCCCATTAAATTCAAAATGGAAACTAATTGCTTCACTCTAACACAAGAGACGTAGCAGACTGATGGTCATTCTGGCAGTCTTGTGATCAATGTTGGCACCCATCGTGCCATCAATTTGCAGTAATCCAGTATGTTGCAGATTGTGTAGAGTGATCAGACATAGCCATCATCCAATCCATCTGTTGGTGCAAATTATGGCCTCCACTGTTGTGACATTGTCTTTTCTGGTGGATGTTGATAGTAGTCTAGGTCACTGTTTCAAAAAAATCTTACAATCATCATGGAATTGCTTGCATCATTGACATTACATCTGACCACAAACTTACAGCAGTTGCTTATGAATCTCTGTACCAGATACAGTGCCGGCCCGAGGCAAGTTTAAGGATGGAGCGAGATCCTATTATGGCGCCCCTTTGGTGGCCCCTAATTTATACCCTTTACTTTTCTTTAACACTGAGGCGCCACCTAAAACTTAGCGCCTGGAGCGGATGCTCTGTTCGCCCTATGGTAGGGCCGGCTCTGACCAGATATGCCATGTTCCCACTCATAGTGGACATGTGGCAAATCCATTGCGTAGTGTCCATGTGCTTGCACTTCATCCTTTGTCCATGTTTCCCATTTTGTTTCTCGCTTGTCAGTGTAATGGGCAAGCACATTCTGTGCATTGCTTAAACTTCCGATTGTTGGTGTGCATGCACCATTATGCTGAAATACAACACAACTTGAGAAGAATGATGCCTTTACTAGTACATGGTATTTTTACCCCAAAAGTGCTATAACTCTGAAAATATGGATACAATACAATAAAATTAAAAATAAAAATGTTCAAATAGAAAATCATTGGTCAAAAATCATCTTTTGAGATTCCTCAGAATGAAAATTAAGACACTAAACAACAATACTTGTTAGGTCATAATTCAACAAGTCACATCAAAAAAGTTAAATTATATCCATTATTATAAATAAAATTATAAACTTTTAAAAAGTTTATTTTTTGGTATTTAATTTACATACATATTATAATTATCTCTATTTTGAATTTCTGATACTTTGATACTTACAATATATGAAGCATGCAATGCCATAACATTGTACATGTCATTTTTTTCTAAATATGTTTTATCAAATAATTGAATTCTAAATGCAATGTTTTCTGCTGCAAAAAATATTGTGACAATATTAGTACTGTATGTGGCTATATTTTGAAGTTGAATTTATGTGAAGCCATAACGTTTAAAGCACCAAATCACATGACTTTTGGCACTTAAAATATTACAGCTTATATTTACTTNATGTTAATCCAGATATCCGGCAATTCAAGGGTGGGGGAGTTGCACGGGGAGAGCAGTTTTGTGAGGATGGCCTCCCAAATAAGCAAGAAAGCGCTCGCAAGAATAAAATATTTTAATTGTATTTAACGCCTTAGTGTCTGAAGTTTTTGAAGAAGCTTTAATTAAAACATTACAGTATTCCACACTTCATAAATTCCAATAGAAATGTTGTATCATATATTGTAAACATTCACTAACAACATAATTTTGGTATTTGATAGCAGCTAATTAATGATTATTATTTTGGTATACAGCAGTGCAAAAGTATAAACTTTTTTTAAAACTCTTCCTACCATGTAGACCTGCCTGAATCCAAGATTGGATGATGAGAAATGATTTTGACATATCAAAATCTATTTTATTTTTGACTCTTCCCAACCTGTTAGCACTGAAATGCCTTTTCTTTTTTATCATACTCATTGTTGGTTTGGCCAGGCCCACAATAAGAGTGACTGAGTTGTGAGAAATGGGGTCTAAAATATCTGGGAGACCAACTCTCCCAAAAAATTTCTAGCTAAAACTGCCCAAATTCCATCCCAGGTCCAGAGCAGTAAGCTGATACCTTAATTGCTTGGCTACCTGGCCATCTAAATAACCAGTTCAGACAACTTATGAAAATTTCTGAAAACCTAATCCAGACTCATCCAAATCCTCCAGAATGGAAGGTGGATAACTTTTATCACTGGACCATCCAGCCAGAATGAATTATTTGATAGAATTTACTGTTTCCTAAATCAATTGTCATTGTTTTATGTAACTACAATAATTGAGGGTCTTACTGGAAAAATGGCACATTCTCCAAAAGTACAGAAAATGTGTTACAGTAGTCTCGAAAACTCGGCCTAATGTGGACCGAAGGGAGGCCGAGTTTGTGAAAATGCCGGGTTATCGGGAATGGGGTTAAAAAAGATAAGTATGAGTGTTTCCTCAGAAAATACTGTACTGTACTTGNTTTCTGAAAACCTAATCCAGACTCATCCAAATCCTCCAGAATGGAAGGTGGATAACTTTTATCACTGGACCATCCAGCCAGAATGAATTATTTGATAGAATTTACTGTTTCCTAATTCAATTGTCATTGTTTTATGTAACTACAATAATTGAGGGTCTTACTGAAAAATGGCACATCCTGCAAAAGTACAGAAAATGTGTTACAGTAGAGTCTCGAAAACTTGGCCTAATGTGGACCGAAGGGTGGCAGAGTTTGTGAAAATGCCAGGTTATCGGGAATGGGGTTAAAAAAGATAAGTATAAGTGTTTCCTCAGAAAATACTGTACTGTACTTGTATGTATTGTTTACTTGAAAATACAACAGAGAATAAACTGCCCAAATACCCTTAAACAAAGGAAAAGTACATCCTTTATGAAGGCATAGAGCCTTTACTACATGAAAATGAAAATTAATGAATACACTGTGTACAGTAATTTACCTGATAAGACAGACCTCAGAAAAATACTTTATGAGGCATAAAGCTGTTTATAATGAAAATTAATTAATTAAGGATTTTTTTGCCCTGCTAGGGGTGGCGAGTTATCTGGACTGCCAAGTTTTCGAGACTCTACTGTATTAACAAATTTGGATTTATTCATCATTGATCAGTTTTCTAAGAAACTTTCACAGTTCAATTACATTCTCCATGGGTTGTACACCCAAATTAGTAAAATGTTGCATATTAAAGTGCTGTTGAAATGAAATGAAACAAAAATCTTCATTCGGGATGTACTATTTTTCTATCAAGTCCCTCAATTATTAATTATCTTTACAGAGAAATAAAAATCAAATTTATATGGAAGTATGAATTTAAATAATAAAATATTTTTCATTTAAATTCTAGTTTTAATTTTCATATTTTTAAAATATATGACAGGAAATATAAACATGTATTAATGGATTTAGGTAAAATAAGTAGAGTGTAAGAATATTATTAAGATATTATTATTTCAATGTGAAAATATATTTTACTAAATGTTAAAAAGAAATTAAACATACAAAATTTTAAATAGGTAATGATTTATTTGCTGTTTTTGTTACAGTACTTGTAAATATCTTGGTAAAAAATTTCATCCCTGTTTGGCCTCCGGGAATATAACTCAAAACATACCTAAAAAAAGAACAATTAAAATCTTAATAAAATTTATAAAAAAATATGAAGAACTTTTTTATATTGAAAATTATACAAAATAGCAAAATTTTTATATACACATTTCTATAAATTTTTAAAAATAAAAATAAAATTTTAATAATATATAAAGTTTTATGAGTAAGTGATTTTACTTTGAATTTGTGCAGAGCTCTGGAAACTTAAACATATGATAACTGATGTCCATATTCACAATCAAGAATGTAGAGTTATAGTTTGAAGCTAAATAATACATATAAATACGTATTGGTTAGGTTCAAAAATTGTTAATTGTTAACTTTGTACTTAGTTAACCAATTAACTAAATTGTTAATTGGTTAACTTTTAACTCTAAGTTTTGATTGTGTACAACATAGTAACAACTTTCTCGATTATCACCCCAAAAAATCTAACAGTTAATGTTCAAGTTCTGTCTTTGAAATAAAAATATATATGCTTTTAGACAAATCATAATGATAAAATTAAAAAATAATAATACAAAATCAAAGTTGAAGAAGCAAACTTAATAATATATAAATAAAATTACAATTGTTAAAAATAAATTTTAATCTAAAACATTTTAAAAAAGCTTATTAAATTCTCTTTTTAATTTTTTTCTTAATTTTTTTTTTATATTTTCTGTTTGGAAAAATTATTTTACAACAATCCTATTTTCATTATAATCATCAAAAGTGAACTAAATTACTACACAAGTAAACTAAAAGTTTTTATAAACTAAAATAAAGAAATAATACTTCAGAGATTTATCTAATTATAACACCAGATCATCAAAGTTGAAAAAGGGATCCTTGAATCTAATTGAATTTGAATCTATAAACTGATAGGAAACCTCCAGTCTTTACAGGTTGGAATTTAATAACTTTAAATTCCAACCTGTAAAGTTTCATTTGTTACAAAGAACCTTGAATTTTTAATCAATTTTAAATAATTGATTCTTTAAGTAAATGAAAAATGGAACAATCCTGAGAGAGGCCACACTTGACAAAAAAATTTTATTCAAAAATGTTTTCAGAAAAAGAAAAAAAGATCCCTACACATATGATTATATCCTTTCCCACAGACTTGCTTCCTTGTTTGGGGTGACACATCAAATGTGTCACTAGGAATCAAATGCAAAAACTGTCATTGGACATGGAGGACAATTTAACCAAAAAAGGACAAGAATTGCAAGGGGAAGGACTCCCAAATAAAGGAGAAGGTCCGATGACATGACAGAGAGTTTGTCTGACAGAGGAGTTCGTCCACATCAAAAGTTCATCCATCCTAGAAGGTTGGTCATGTGTGTACACTCAGATATACTTCTCTGCTGATGCTCCTCTAATAGCCAGCGATCAGAAGCTTAACCACTGAAAGCTGATGACCTCAAGTACCCACCAAGGACGTGTCTCCACCGAAAAAAGACCCAAATCAAGAAAGCGATCTTCAGGTAAATACCATGTGCGAACATTTGTAAACTCTCTCTCTCATTTAAAGCATATGTGTAACTAGTTTATATAATCAATAAACGGGCATTATTTTCTATAATCGAATTGTAAAGTGCACTTCTTTTGCCCAATCGGTCACCATCTCGAGTCCAACTGCCCACAGATGCGACCGCTCGCATGAAAAGGCGAACATAATGGTCTCTGTGTCTACCCAGAAGACACAGTAGTGTCAATCCCGATGAATTAGTCATTGCAGTCTTTGCCGATGCGATGTTGACCCTTCGGTCCTGTGGTGCCGAAGCATAGAAGGGCACTTTGTGCATTGTCACAATCCTGTTCATTACTGTATAATTTTGTATAATAATGAGCAAGTGAATGAGCAAGTGAACAACTTTCACATTAAAAAAAAATTAGACATTTCTATTGAACCTACAAAATAACAAAAATATATAGGGTTATCTCATGATTGATATGATATCATCAGAATTATGCCAACATCTAAAATTCAGATTTTACAGAAATAAAACAGGTTTAATGAAGACATTCAAAAATTTCCAGTTCAAAAGTAGATTTGAAAACAGAATATGCAGTAAGTAATGTTTAAAAGTAATTTTTAACCATAAGTTCTGCAATTTTGTGAAAAACTTCTGAATTCAACATTAATCACTCAATTCATCATTACATATTAACATCAATTTTGTTATTCACTCATCAACATCTCATTATTTATATGAATTATTGGACAATAAATAATTTATGTTGAATAGAAAAACATTCTTAGAATCAAAACTTTTGCTAAATAATAAATACTCAATGAAAACTGATAATCATATCATACATCATCAAAGTTGTGTTTAAAGTTGTTACTTAGAATGCTGAGTCAGTCAAAATAATTTCTTAAAGCACCTTTAATTTGTTCATTAATTTGTTAATTTATTAACACAGAATTAATTAATGTTAAATTTTATTTAACTTTACATCAGGATATTATTTTCAATTCAATTACTAAAAGATAAAGAACTTACCAAAAAAGTGCAATAACTTGAAACACAGCACAAATAACTGTTAATAAGGTACTTCTGGCCTGAAAAACACAACTTATCAATTTCACTTTTTAATTTACTTTTAAATTTTGTAAGTTTTTGAAATTAATCTATTCATAAAAAATTTTAAATCATTTCTGTGGCGACAGCTTTGGCGATAAACCCCAAAGTCGTCACAAGGGGGAACCCCTGACCTGACCTATGACATCACACACATTCTTGTTGGATTGGGACCTCTCCAGACGTGCGTAGTAACACCTCGTGTTTTAACCTGTACAGTCGCGCCATAATTCATATATAGAATAAATGATAATCTTTTATTGTATGTGGCCCTGTTTGTAATGAGTAATTTCACACGAACTGGTGACCACAAACTGGTGAGCCGAACGTGATATATGTTTTATGGTGCCTCTACCCGACGAAGGACTCTATCGTGCGACATGAAAATTCCATCCATTCGCATCGGATACAACGTTGGACTTTCATCCTTTTTTGGAACTGCCAACTCATACAACTAGACCTTCGAAACGTGTAACCACGGATAATTTTTCGTCGACGGTCGACTTTTCTCAACGAAAAGGTATAGTACACCACGTGCTACCCTTCTTTGTCCTCGCGCCACGTGCTATCCTTTGTTTCCTCGCCACGTGCCTTTACGTGCCATCGTTCTTCGTCCTTTCCCCACGTGCTGAACTGCGCGCACAACGCATCATTTAAGGATAACTACCCCCGCACTGCCACAACTACGTAAAAAAAATCATCATGTCTGAGGCAGAAATTAATGACGATCACCGTCACATTTCACGCATTGCGATCAGACCCCCACCCTTCTGGAAGGGCAACCCTAACTTATGGTTTGCTCAGTTGGAAGCACAATTTTCGATAAATAACATAACCGTCGACGACACCAAATTTAAACACGTCGTTGCTGCAATAGAGCCGGAAATTTTAAATTCGGTGCAGGACCTAATCCTCAACCCGCCCGACCAGAATAAATTTTCCACGCTAAAGGCTCGTCTCATCGACGTCTATTCCGAGAGCGAGACCTCCAAAATCAGAACTCTTCTTCAAGGGTTGGAACTGGGAGACCAACGTCCATCCTTCCTATTATCACGGATGCGCGACTTGGCCGGAAACCATTTTAGCGAAGACCTGCTACAATCTCTCTGGCTGTCGAGACTTCCTCATAACGTACAGGCCATTTTAGCCGCATCTAAGGAAAAACTCCAACAACAGGCCGCCATGGCCGACAAGATAATGGAATTAGTCTCCCCCGGTCACATTCAAACGGTCGAACATGACCTTGCCACTATCTCCACCCTGAAGAACCAGGTTGCGGAATTAGCCCAGCAGGTCAAAAACCTCACCATATCCATCAACAACCAATGCCGTTCCTTCACACGTTCTGATTACCCTCCCAACAACAGGAGGCGCCGCAGCAAATCGCGACAGAATCAACAGCACAGCACCCCACACAACGACATGTGTTACTACCACGCTACTTTCGGGGAGCAGGCGAGAAAATGCAAAGCCCCTTGCTCCTTCCGACCGTCGGAAAACTGACTAGGCGGGCGCTTACGGCCAGAAGCCTCACCCGCCACATCGATCGAATCACCATGGCCGACCCTACTACGAAATACAAATTCCTAATTGACACAGGCGCCGACATCTCCGTTATCCCAAAAAGTTCTAACATGTATTTATGCAAACCCGACAAGCTAGTCCTCTTTGCTGCAAACGGAACGCCTATTTCAACTTACGGAACAAAACTATTAACACTCAACTTTAACTTAAAGCGGAATTTTTCGTGGCCATTTGTAATCGCCGACGTAACCCAACCCATCATAGGAATCGACTTCTTAACTAAATTCAACCTACTGGTGGACGTTAAAAACAATCGACTAAT